CTGTGTATCTAGTTATTCTTTGCTGTCTGTGTATCTAGTTATTCTTTGCTGTCTCTGTATCTAGTTATTCTTTGCTGTCTGTGTATCTGGTTATTCTTTGCTGTCTGTGTATCTGGTTATTCTTTGCTGTCTGTGTATCTGGTTATTCTTTGCTGTCTGTGTATCTGGTTATTCTTTGCTGTCTGTGTATCTAGTTATTCTTTGCTGTCTGTGTATCTAGTTATTCTTTGCTGTCTCTGTATCTGGTTATTCTTTGCTGTCTGTGTATCTAGTTATTCTTTGCTGTCTGTGTATCTGGTTATTCTTTGCTGTCTATGTATCTAGTTATTCTTTGCTGTCTGTGTATCTAGTTATTCTTTTCTGTCTGTGTATCTAGTTATTCTTTGCTGTCCGTGTGTATCTAGTTATTCTTTGCTGTCTGTGTATCTAGTTATTCTTTGCTGTCTCTGTATCTAGTTATTCTTTGCTGTCTGTGTATCTGGTTATTCTTTGCTGTCTGTGTATCTGGTTATTCTTTGCTGTCTGTGTATCTAGTTATTCTTTGCTCTCTGTGTATCTAGTTATTCTTTTCTGTCTGTGTATCTAGTTATTCTTTGCTGTCTCTGTATCTAGTTATTCTTTGCTGTCTCTGTATCTAGTAATACTTTGCTGTCTGTGTATCTAGTTATTCTTTGCTGTCTCTGTATCTAGTTATTCTTTGCTGTCTGTGTATCTATTTATTCTTTGCTGTCTGTGTATCTAGTTATTCTTTGCTGTCTGTGTATCTAGTTATTCTTTGCTGTCTGTGTATCTATTTATTCTTTGCTGTCTGTGTATCTAGTTATTCTTTGCTGTCTGTGTATCTAGTTATTCTTTTCTGTCTGTGTATCTAGTTATTCTTTGCTGTCTGTGTATCTAGTTATTCTTTGCTTCCGTGTGTATCTAGTTATTCTTTTGCTGTCTGTGTATCTAGTTATTCTTTGCTGTCTCTGTAATCTAGTTATTCTTTGCCGTCTGTGTATCTGGTTATTCTTTCGTCTGTGTATCTGGTTATTCTTTTGCTGTCTGCGTATCTGCTATTCTTTTTGCTGGCTGTGTATCAGTTATTCTTTCTGTCTGTGTATCTAGTTATTCTTGCTGTCCGTGTGTATCTAGTTATTCTTGCTGTCTGTGTATCTAGTTATTCTTTGCTGTCTCTCTGTATCTAGTTATTCTTTTGCCGTCTGTGTATCTGTTATTTCTTGCTGTCTGTGTATTTCCGCTATTCTCTTTGTTTCTGTGTATCTAGTTATTCTTTTCTGTCTGTGTATCTAGTTATTCTTTGCTGTCTCTGTATCTAGTTATTCTTTGCTGTCTCTGTATCTAGTAATACTTTGCTGTCTGTGTATCTAGTTATTCTTTGCTGTCTGTGTATCTATTTATTATTTGCTGTCTCTGTATCTAGTTATTCTTTGCTGTCTGTGTATCTAGTTATTCTTTGCTGTCTGTGTATCTAGTTATTCTTTGCTGTCTATGTATCTAGTTATTCTTTGCTGTCTCTGTATCTAGTTATTCTGCTGTCTTGCTGTGTATCTAGTTATTCTTTGCTGTCTGTGTATCTAGTTATTCTTTGCTGTCTGTGTATCTAGTTATTCTTTGCTGTCTGTGTATCTAGTTATTCTTTGCTGTCTCTGTATCTGGTTATTCTTTGCTGTCTGTGTATCTAGTTATTCTTTGCTGTCTGTGTATCTGGTTATTCTTTGCTGTCTATGTATCTAGTTATTCTTTGCTGTCTGTGTATCTAGTTATTCTTTTCTGTCTGTGTATCTAGTTATTCTTTGCTGTCGGTGTGTATCTAGTTATTCTTTGCTGTCTGTGTATCTAGTTATTCTTTGCTGTCTGTGTATCTGGTTATTCTTTGCTGTCTGTGTATCTGGTTATTCTTTGCTGTCTGTGTATCTGGTTATTCTTTGCTGTCTCTGTATCTGGTTATTCTTTGCTGTCTGTGTATCTAGTTATTCTTTGCTGTCTGTGTATCTGGTTATTCTTTGCTGTCTATGTATCTAGTTATTCTTTGCTGTCTGTGTATCTAGTTATTATTTTCTGTCTGTGTATCTAGTTATTCTTTGCTGTCCGTGTGTATCTAGTTATTCTTTGCTGTCTGTGTATCTAGTTATTCTTTGCTGTCTCTGTATCTAGTTATTCTTTGCTGTCTGTGTATCTGGTTATTCTTTGTCTGTGTATCTGGTTATTCTTTGCTGTCTGTGTATCTGGTTATTCTTTGCTGTCTGTGTATCTGTCTGTGTATCTGGTTATTCTTTGCTGTCTGTGTATCTGGTTATTCTTTGCTGTCTGTGTATCTGGTTATTCTTTGCTGTCTGTGTATCTGGTTATTCTTTGCTGTCTGTGTATCTAGTTATTCTTTGCTGTCTGTGTGTATCTAGTTATTCTTTGCTGTCTGTGTATCTAGTTATTCTTTGCTGTCTCTGTATCTAGTTATTCTTTGCTGTCTCTGTATCTAGTTATTCTTTGCTGTCTGTGTATCTAGTTATTCTTTGCTGTCTGTGTATCTATTTATTCTTTGCTGTCTCTGTATCTAGTTATTCTTTGCTGTCTGTGTATCTAGTTATTCTTTGCTGTCTGTGTGTATCTAGTTATTCTTTTCTGTCTGTGTATCTAGTTATTCTTTGCTGTCTCTGTATCTAGTTATTCTTTGCTGTCTGTGTATCTGGTTATTCTTTGCTGTCTGTGTATCTAGTTATTCTTTGCTGTCTGTGTATCTAGTTATTCTTTGCTCTCTGTGTATCTAGTTATTCTTTTCTGTCTATGTATCTAGTTATTCTTTGCTGTCTCTGTATCTAGTTATTCTTTGCTGTCTGTGTATCTGGTTATTCTTTGCTGTCTGTGTATCTAGTTATTCTTTGCTGTCTGTGTATCTAGTTATTCTTTGCTCTCTGTGTATCTAGTTATTCTTTTCTGTCTGTGTATCTAGTTATTCTTTGCTGTCTCTGTATCTAGTTATTCTTTGCTGTCTCTGTATCTAGTAATACTTTGCTGTCTGTGTATCTAGTTATTCTTTGCTGTCTCTGTATCTAGTTATTCTTTGCTGTCTGTGTATCTATTTATTCTTTGCTGTCTGTGTATCTAGTTATTCTTTGCTGTCTGTGTATCTATTTATTCTTTGCTGTCTGTGTATCTAGTTATTCTTTGCTGTCTGTGTATCTAGTTATTCTTTGCTGTCTGTGTATCTAGTTATTCTTTTCTGTCTGTGTATCTAGTTATTCTTTGCTGTCTCTGTATCTAGTTATTCTTTGCTGTCTGTGTATCTAGTTATTCTTTGCTGTCTGTGTATCTATTTATTATTTGCTGTCTCTGTATCTAGTTATTCTTTGCTGTCTGTGTATCTAGTTATTCTTTGCTGTCTGTGTATCTAGTTATTCTTTGCTGTCTCTGTATCTAGTTATTCTTTGCTGTCTGTGTATCTGGTTATTCTTTGCTGTCTGTGTATCTGGTTATTCTTTGCTGTCTGTGTATCTGGTTATTCTTTGCTGTCTGTGTATCTGGTTATTCTTTGCTGTCTGTGTATCTAGTTATTCTTTGCTGTCTGTGTGTATCTAGTTATTCTTTGCTGTCTGTGTATCTAGTTATTCTTTGCTGTCTGTGTATCTGGTTATTCTTTGCTGTCTATGTATCTAGTTATTCTTTGCTGTCTGTGTATCTAGTTATTCTTTTCTGTCTGTGTATCTAGTTATTCTTTGCTGTCCGTGAGTATCTAGTTATTCTTTGCTGTCTGTGTATCTAGTTATTCTTTGCTGTCTCTGTATCTAGTTATTCTTTGCTGTCTGTGTATCTGGTTATTCTTTGCTGTCTGTGTATCTGGTTATTCTTTGCTGTCTGTGTATCTGGTTATTCTTTGCTGTCTCTGTATCTGGTTATTCTTTGCTGTCTGTGTATCTGGTTATTCTTTGCTGTCTGTGTATCTGGTTATTCTTTGCTGTCTGTGTATCTGGTTATTCTTTGCTGTCTGTGTATCTAGTTATACTTTGCTGTCTGTGTATCTAGTTATTCTTTGCTGTCTCTGTATCTGGTTATTCTTTGCTGTCTGTGTATCTAGTTATTCTTTGCTGTCTGTGTATCTGGTTATTCTTTGCTGTCTATGTATCTAGTTATTCTTTGCTGTCTGTGTATCTAGTTATTCTTTTCTGTCTGTGTATCTAGTTATTCTTTGCTGTCCGTGTGTATCTAGTTATTCTTTGCTGTCTGTGTATCTAGTTATTCTTTGCTGTCTCTGTATCTAGTTATTCTTTGCTGTCTGTGTATCTGGTTATTCTTTGCTGTCTGTGTATCTGGTTATTCTTTGCTGTCTGTGTATCTAGTTATTCTTTGCTCTCTGTGTATCTAGTTATTCTTTTCTGTCTGTGTATCTAGCGCTCTTTGCTGTCTGTGTATCTAGTTATTCTTTGCTGTCTCTGTATCTAGTTATTCTTTGCTGTCTGTGTATCTATTTATTCTTTGCTGTCTGTGTATCTAGTTATTCTTTGCTGTCTGTGTATCTAGTTATTCTTTGCTGTCTGTGTATCTATTTATTCTTTGCTGTCTGTGTATCTAGTTATTCTTTGCTGTCTGTGTATCTAGTTATTCTTTGCTGTCTGTGTATCTAGTTATTCTTTTCTGTCTGTGTATCTAGTTATTCTTTGCTGTCTGTGTATCTAGTTATTCTTTGCTGTCTGTGTATCTAGTTATTCTTTGCTTTCCGTGTGTATCTAGTTATTCTTTGCTGTCTGTGTATCTAGTTATTCTTTGCTGTCTCTGTATCTAGTTATTCTTTGCTGTCTGTGTATCTGGTTATTCTTTGCTGTCTGTGTATCTGGTTATTCTTTGCTGTCTATGTATCTAGTTATTCTTTGCTGTCTGTGTATCTAGTTATTCTTTTCTGTCTGTGTATCTAGTTATTCTTTGCTGTCCGTGTGTATCTAGTTATTCTTTGCTGTCTGTGTATCTAGTTATTCTTTGCTGTCTCTGTATCTAGTTATTCTTTGCTGTCTGTGTATCTGGTTATTCTTTGCTGTCTGTGTATCTAGTTATTCTTTGCTGTCTGTGTATCTAGTTATTCTTTGCTCTCTGTGTATCTAGTTATTCTTTTCTGTCTGTGTATCTAGTTATTCTTTGCTGTCTCTGTATCTAGTTATTCTTTGCTGTCTCTGTATCTAGTAATACTTTGCTGTCTGTGTATCTAGTTATTCTTTGCTGTCTGTGTATCTATTTATTATTTGCTGTCTCTGTATCTAGTTATTCTTTGCTGTCTGTGTATCTAGTTATTCTTTGCTGTCTGTGTATCTAGTTATTCTTTGCTGTCTTTGTATCTAGTTATTCTTTGCTGTCTGTGTATCTAGTTATTCTTTGCTGTTTGTGTATCTAGTTATTCTTTGCTGTCTGTGTATCTAGTTATTCTTTGCTCTCTGTGTATCTAATTATTCTTTGCTGTCTGTGTATCTAGTTATTCTTTGCTGTCTGTGTATCTAGTTATTCTTTGCTGTCTGTGTATCTAGTTATTTTTTGCTGTCTGTGTATCTAGTTATTTTTTGCTGTCTGTGTGTATCTAGTTATTCTTTGCTGTTTGTGTATCTAGTTATTCTTTTGCTGTCCGTGTGTATCTGCTATTCTTTTGCTGTCTGTGGGACTGCTATTTTGGCTGTCTCTAGGCTTCCAGTTATTCTTTGCTGTCTGTGTATCTAGTTATTCTTTGCTGTCTGTGTATCTAGTTATTCTTTGCTGTCTCTGTATCTGGTTATTCTTTGCTGTCTGTGTATCTAGTTATTCTTTGCTGTCTGTGTATCTGGTTATTCTTTGCTGTCTATGTATCTAGTTATTCTTTGCTGTCTGTGTATCTAGTTATTCTTTTCTGTCTGTGTATCTAGTTATTCTTTGCTGTCTGTGTATCTAGTTATTCTTTGCTGTCTGTATCTGTATCTAGTTATTCTTTGCTGTCTGTGTATCTGGTTATTCTTTGCTGTCTGTGTATCTGGTTATTCTTTGCTGTCTGTGTATCTGGTTATTCTTTGCTGTCTCTGTATCTGGTTATTCTTTGCTGTCTGTGTATCTAGTTATTCTTTGCTGTCTGTGTATCTGGTTATTCTTTGCTGTCTATGTATCTAGTTATTCTCTTGCTGTCTGTCTGTGTATCTAGTTATTCTTTGCTGTCTGTGTGTATCTAGTTATTCTTTGCTGTCTGTGTATCTAGTTATTCTTTGCTGTCTCTGTATCTAGTTATTCTTTGCTGTCTGTGTATCTAGTTATTCTTTGCTGTCTGTGTATCTATTTATTCTCTGTATCTAGTTATTCTTTGCTGTCTGTGTATCTAGTTATTCTTTGCTGTCTGTGTGTATCTAGTTATTCTTTGCTGTCTGTGTATCTAGTTATTCTTTTGCTGTCTGCGTGTATCTAGTTATTCTTTGCTGTCTGTGTATCTAGTTATTCTTTGCTGTCTTTGTATCTAGTAATTTTTTTGTGTATCTAGTATCTAGTTATTCTTTTCTGTCTGTGTATCTAGTTATTCTTTGCTGTCTCTGTATCTAGTTATTCTTTTCTGTCTGTGTATCTAGTTATTCTTTTCTGTCTGTGTATCTAGTAATTCTTTGCTGTCTGTGTATCTAGTTATTATTTTCTGTCTGTGTATCTAGTTATTCTTTGCTGTCTGTGTATCTAGTTATTCTTTTCTGTCTGTGTATCTAGTTATTCTTTTCTGTCTGTGTATCTAGTTATTCTTTGCTGTCTCTGTATCTAGTTATTCTTTTCTGTCTGTGTATCTAGTTATTCTTTTCTGTCTGTGTATCTAGTTATTCTTTGCTGTCTCTGTATCTAGTTATTCTTTGCTGTCTCTGTATCTAGTTATTCTTTGCTGTCTGTGTATCTAGTTATTCTTTGCTGTCTCTGTATCTAGTTATTCTTTGCTGTCTGTGTATCTAGTTATTCTTTGCTGTCTCTGTATCTGGTTATTCTTTGCTGTCTCTGTATCTAATTATTCTTTGCTGTCTGTGTATCTAGTTATTCTTTGCTGTCTGTGTATCTATTTATTCTTTGCTGTCTGTGTGTATCTAGTTATTCTTTGCTGTCTGTGTGTATCTAGTTATTCTTTTCTGTCTGTGTATCTAGTTATTCTTTGCTTTCTGTGTGTTTCTAGTTATTCTTTGCTGTGTGTGTATCTGGTTATTCTTTGTTGTCTGTGTATCTGGTTATTCTTTTCTGTCTGTGTATCTAGTTATTCTTTGCTGTCTCTGTATCTAGTTATTCTTTGCTGTCTCTGTATCTAGTTATTCTTTGCTGTCTCTGTATCTAGTTATTCTTTGCTGTCTGTGTGTATCTAGTTATTCTTTGCTGTCTGTGTATCTAGTTATTCTTTGCTGTCTCTGTATCTAGTTATTCTTTGCTGTCTGTGTGTATCTAGTTATTCTTTGCTGTCTGTGTGTATCTAGTTATTCTTTTCTGTCTGTGTATCTAGTTATTCTTTGCTGTCTGTGTGTATCTAGTTATTCTTTGCTGTGTGTGTATCTGGTTATTCTTTGTTGTCTGTGTGTATCTAGTTATTCTTTGCTGTCTGTGTATCTAGTTATTCTTTTCTGTCTGTGTATCTAGTTATTCTTTGCTGTCTGTGTGTATCTAGTTATTCTTTGCTGTCTGTGTATCTAGTTATTCTTTGCTGTCTTTGTATCTAGTTATTCTTTGCTGTCTGTGTATCTAGTTATTCTTTGCTGTCTTTGTATCTAGTTATTCTTTGCTGTCTGTGGATCTAGTTATTCTTTGCTGTGTCCATGTATCTAGGTATTCTTTGCTGTCTGTGGATCTAGCACTGAATATTTATACTGTGACAAAGCAGGACTGCAAACAGGTTAAAATAATTGAAAATAGAAATAGCAATATAAATTGTACGTTCTGTTTTTTGTTTGTTTTTTACATATTTTTGATATTTTATTATTTAGAAAAAAAATATTAAAAAAAGCTTTTAAAATATATATTTATTTAAGGCGAGTTAGGTTGCCTAAACAGTTTTGATAAACATTTACATAGTTACAGAGTGTGACGAGACCAATCTCGCCACATTGCATTGGAGAAGCCTGGTTGCTCGCCTGCTGCCTTTGGACTATGGCCCCCTTTTAAAAGACTTTATTTTTCCATGCAGAAAAGCCATATTCATGCTTTTCTGCCGGTTGTTCGGTAGTTTCAATCTACCGAACAACCGTACGAATGACTGGACCACCTGGGAGCTGGAGTGTGCCGGCAATTAACCTCCCTGAAGCTGCGGTTAACCGCAGCTTAATTGATGAACGCTGGGTGGCCGCCGTTCGTATCCCGAACACGAGGTCGCGGCCATTTTAAACCATACGAATGAACAGCGGTGTTCGCCTCTATTTTCATGGAACTAAAATCGGACACAGTTTTGCGCGAACACCGCTGAAGCCGCCGACCTCCCTTCTTGTTCGGTGAAAGCACACGAATGACCCGGTGTTCGGTATTTTTGTGTGAATGTCTTATACCCCAGATAGGAATCCCATGGAGCCCATTCGTATGAAACTGACTGTAAAGACTTTGGCTCCATGGCGATTGAACTGTATTCGTGTAGTCTGAGTGCCATTCACCTAATAATGTGCACTCAGACCTGAGCTATCTGGGGATGTGTTGCATGCCTGTGTTTAATGTAGTAAATGTTACTTTGTGCATTTTAAAGTATAATGCTGTTTTGTGTTCCCACGTGTGTAATGGAGTTTTGCCTTTGTCTTGGGAGATAATTGAGTTACTTCCCAATTACCTCCCAGGGCAGAGGGGAGGAAGCCAGGATGCATTGTGGGAATATACTGTGACTGTGTGTCCTTTTTGTATACTTGTCTGTCCCTTGTCACAGTCTCCCATTTGGTCCCCTAGGGGAGTGTCCACCAGGTGGGAGACCTGCATAAAAGCTGGGCAGGTAGCCCTCATTAAACAGACCACTGCTTGACCCTCAACACGGAGCCTTGTCTCGTTCTTGGGGGGATTCACTGTATGCTGTTAGAGACTGATTGCCAGGAGTGTAAGCTGTTAGTCTGCTTTTCCTGTTCGTCTGCTAGCAGCTATTTGGGAGGTTCCAGTTCGGGAGTTGGAGTGCTATTTTGTATCCAGTTCGTGAGTTTTGGTGTTCTGCAGTAGCTGTGCCTGGATCTCTGGAAAGGGGGCCGATCGCCTAAACGGTTTTTACCCCTTGTGTGCAAAACGGTCCGTTACACAGAGATCAGCCACAACATTAAAACCACCGACAGGTGAAGTGAATAAAAATGATAATATCGTTACAATGGCACTTATCAAGGGTTGGGATGTATTAGGCAGCTAATTAACAAAAAAAATGGGCAAGATCTGAATGAATTTGACAAGGGTCAAATAGTGAGGACAACACGACTGGCTCAGAGCATTTCCAAAACGGCAAGTCTTGTGGAGTGTTTCCGGAAATAGATAAAGCTATACTGAATTCTAACACTAGGGGGCACTGTTGACCTACAATTAAAAAAATTTAAGTCAGACCCTCTCTTGATATTACATCATTTAATAAAACATTGAAAATAACGTATAGCTTTTGTTAAACTTGTTTTCATGTGTTGCTCCATTTTAAGATAACAACCTACAACAAATATAAGCATGCCAAAAGGGCTTGCAAAATGACAATTAGATGGACTAAACTTGAAAATGAAAAGCTCTTAGCCAAAGAGAGCAAAACCAGCCCTCCAAAGTTTTTTAAGTATATTAACGCCAAAAAGGTTAAGAGTAAACGTATTGGTCCATTGGAAAGTGAGATGGGTGAGTTAATCAAGTAGTATCATGACAATGTACACATTTTAAATAATACATTTTCTTCTGTATATGAGGATGAAGATTCTATGGCAGTAGATTTGTGAATTCCTTTTACAAAATCCTTACAACAAACAGATGGTTAGCTTGAACAGGATAACTCGCTACATAAATTAAATAAAGTTAATGTAAACAAAGCAGCAGTTCCAGATGATATTCACCCAAGTGTGCTTAGGTAGCTTAGTATAGAAATATCCATACCACTGTATTTAATTTTTCAGGATTCTTTTTTTTTTTAAGAAATAATACCAGAGAATTGGAGAAAAGCAGATTAATAAGCAGTGGGTAGGGCCCCTAAAAGGACAAAAAGGCAGGGAAACCTACTATCTCTCCCTTAGCTCTCACCCATGGGTGGTGCCCCCTCCCCCGTTAATTATTTTAATAGATTCCCCACCGTGCTAGGTCCCCCTTTATTGGATTCGGGGGGGAGGGGGGGGGGATTTTTACAACAGTGAGCAGCTGCAAGTGGGGGAATTTGGGAGATTTTATAATAATATGGGGGTCATATTGACACCCATAGAATGACGAGGCATGGGTGGTGTAACGGAGCTCCTTGTACTCCGACCGAGTACCCTCCGTTGACGGATGCTCCTAGCGCTTCATGAGGACTCCAAGCACTGCAGCAGACACCACAACCACTGCAGACTCCGCAACCGCCGTATCTGGACTGAAGTCTCGCCGTCTTCCTTCCACCCTGGATCAGCTTCTGTCCTCCAGGACTGTGTGGGAAAGAACTCTTCCTTCCACCCT